AATAACTATTTGTAATAATTGTTATTGTAAATTGTATTGTTGTATGTATATTAAAACGTATTTGTATAAAAGAAAACTGTGTATATCAGTCTTATTAGCAAATATCATAAACTGAGTATATATCGGCTTTTACTTAACTGCTAAATCTAAAGTACAATTTAACTACTAAATTTAAAGTATCATTTAACTCGGTTACACACCATTTGAAATTCTAATACCTAACGTGATAACATAAGATGACCAGAAAAGGACAGTGAAATAACAGGCCAACATAAATATAGTATGTCTCTCTATAATGCAAAGTATGCGGCAGATTTTTTTTTCAATGTCCGTAGTTTTCTGAAAGCTACGTACAATAACGATTTGTTATGAACTAGTATAAAATACCCGCACTCTGCTATGTGATATGAAGGCTCCTCGTGATTCACAGAGGCTTCATGGTATCAATAAAACACCTCCATTATTTTTAGTTGCTTCTATGGCTACGTCAAGTTGGCTTCCTTCCCCAAAACAAGCCTCATTAGAACACTTGTCTGTTCTACTTCAGCAAGAATACCACAAGCGTGGATAAGAACACATTTTCAAACATGGTGCCTCAAGGGGTCTCAAGGTGTGCTCTAAAACATAAAATCCGATGCCAGGTTTAGGTTCATCCAACCTCAAAACGTACTCTTAAGACTTACTCGTCATGCTTAGATGGTCTACCGGACGCGTTTTAGCCGTCTTCTTAAGAAGAGGGGGGGGGGGGGAGGAGGAGGCTACGACATACAGAAAAGGGCTATTCCGAGTACGTCTGCTGTGCTTGGTCCTGCTAGCTCCAAAACAAATTCACACAGCCTGAATTAACATAGGATTCTTGTCCATTCAAAGGACAATGTCACAGAGTTCAGTGAATGAATCATCTTAGATACTCGTTTTCTACTCTTTATCAGAAGATGTACACTTACAATAGTAAGGTGAACAGAAGCAAGGTGGTCATATGTTAACACTGCCCTTGTGACCTCGATTAAGTTAGAAACCTAAATGTTTTCATGAATATTTTTTTTTTTTTGGAACTTAAGGTTTGATTATTTCTTTGAAGAGAATAATATTCTCTTCAAATCTGCAAATCAAATTCTGGAACGTCTTCAACCCATGCTCGGAAACAGCTAGGAAAATATCTTGGGAAACAACACAGAATAAGAAACAATCTAAATGACAGACAGCTGCTATATCTCATTGAAGCAGAGTAAGAAAAAGTTCAGTCTCATTTGTGGATATATCAAGCATGCCTGGAATGTCAACGTCCAACAAAGTGGGATCAAGAAAAAAAATAGCAAAATATTTACATTTCTGTAAGAGGAAAGCTGGAAGCAAACTCTCATATTTCCAAATAATATCGGGAAAACATACATTTTAAAATTGCAACGTTTCTTTCAATATCACAAAATGTTTTTTTTTCTTTTTTTAGAAAATGAACAGTAAAGTTTTGCCAAATGAGAAGTTATATGAGTAACTTCACTATTATTAGAAGAATGTTCGCACAAACAACATGATCAGATTCGAAAGCTTGGCATAAAACACATCAGCTTACAGCAAGTGTTTAATGTAATGATGTCTCATCGACACCTTTGTTGAAAGAATGCTCACAGAATGATACATGAGAAACAAATTTTGCCTGGATAAGGTCTTCAATGAATATTTCAACAATGTCAATGATAGGATCTTTATTTTAATGTTAAATTAAAACGTCTTAGAAGAATAGTTTCCTTTATTTTTCTGAACATAGATGTAAAGACACCAGCTGCTTATAAATGGGTGGGTGAAACTACCGTGGATTTATGAGTAAATTTTTCATTTCTGGAACTTATATGTGTTGAAGTTCTCATTTATATTTGAGTGAATAATGAATCTAGATAAGACAACAGAGCGTAGAATGAGAACACTCTAGAATTTCACATGCTTATAATTCAGTCTTCAACTTGTGAGTAGCACATACTCTCGTCGTTTCTTTCCTTTCCAAAATGCCCCCCAGTGGCACAGCGGTATGTCTGCCGACGTACAACGCTAGAAACCGGGTTTCGATACCCGTGGTGGGCAGAGCACAAATAGCCCATTGTGTAGCTTTGTGCTTAACTTCAAACAAACAACCTTTTCAAAATATAAGTTTTTAAGTTGATGTTATAAACAGATAAGTTTAGAATGCGAAAATTGAAAAAAAAAAAAACTGAACATCACGAAAACCCTTATCGACGTTTCCTAAATCTGGTATAATATGTATTCACTGATTTCTTTCCTCTCACGATAACATGGTTTCTCTTTCATTCCTTCACCGTTCATATGGTTTTGTTTTGTTTCTTCTAATCGACAGCCATTACGTTTACTCATTATCTATAGAATAATTGAACAATTAACAATTATCTAATAAAATTTTGCTGTCTAAAACTAAGTTTGACCGGATGATTAAGTCACTCGACTCACAATCTGCATGTCGCGAGTTCAAATCCCGTTACCAAATATGCTTAACCTTTCAGCCATGAAGGGGGCGTTCTAACGTGATGGTCAATCCCACTTTTCATCGGTAAAGAGTAGCCTAAGAGTTGGCGGTGCGTGGTGTTGACTAACTGATTTCCCTCTAGTCTATCACATCAAAATTATGGAATGCTAGTGCAGATAACCCTCCGAATTGCATTTGCGCAAAATTTCACAAACAAACAATAAAATTAAGTTTTATGTGCGCGGATTTTCTTTTCAGCTGTAAGTTCAGTACTATGTGCTATCTTAGTTTTGTAACGTGATAAACACGACAGCCTCGGAACAGAAGAACGGTGTTAGGTTCGGGATTGGAAATTAGTAAACTGTATAATATATCGTTTAAGTAAAACCTAAAAAAAACTACTATTTGTGTGTGTGTGTGTTTTGTTTTCACAAATTAGTGAACTACCTGCTTTCAATGTCATATTCAGCTTTTATTCTGATGAGTTTTGCCACTTAATTACAAAGAGACAAAATGGTTTGAAAGTTTACTAGTTTTATATTTAAAATATTTCTAAGCAGTTCATTTTATATTATTATTTGTCTTAAACCGGGCGTGGCCTAATAGTTAGCGTGTCAGGACTATGAATCTTAGAATTCTCAGTTTGCATCCTGTTACCATAAAAACGCGCTCCGCATTTTGGGGCCATTGATGCGCTATAAGAGTGACGGCGAAATACCACTGTTTTGTCTGACAATAGTTTGTGGTAGGTACTATTGACTAGCTGCCTTCCTTCTAGTCTATCAGCTCAAAATTTGGGACAGTTTGCACAAACATCACGTGTGTAGCTTTGCGCGAATTTCCGAAACAAATACAAAGCTACAAAATAGGTTATATGTGCTCTTCGCATCGCCGGTATCAAATCCCGATGTTTCGAGTGAAAAGCCCTCAGATTTACCTTGATCAAGGAAAACAGTAATTTGTTGAGTGTATAAGATCTTCAAGTTTAGTCTACTGTCATTGGAAATAAGATTTTTTTTTCAGCTGACTATTTTCAGAATCCCGTTTTTGATAAAAGTTACTGCTTATAAAAAAATATCTGTTTTAGTTCTTACCCGCACATCAGGATTTAAAACCAAATTAAGATCTTCATCAACAAGACAAGGCCGTCTGTTATGTTTCGTATTTGTACATTGCATAATTGTTTAAAAACCTATGTATCTTTAAGAACTTTAGATTTATAGATTGTGCTATCGTGTTCAACGAAAAACTATGACAGAAACGTTCTTATTATTGGACGTTATAGTCATCCTTTATCTTGTGTATGGGGTTTTAAGTCCCTTTTGCTTCACCACACAGTAACCTAAATTAATTCACAGATTCTCTTTTCAATTTCACATCTGGTGAAAATGAAAAGAAATCCTATACATACTATATGTATGTATGTATATATATATATATATATATATATTAGGTCGTCGAGAAATTAATGTCGCTATTTTTAAATGAAAAATACCCGAACAACCTATATATATATATCGAAACAAAACATTTATTAAATGAAATGGTCTCCACTCTTATCAATGATGCTTTTCTATCTTACAATCAGGTTGTTAATGTCCTGATTAAATAAATCACTTGGCTTTCAAGTAAAAAACATGTCGATGTCCTCTTTAACACCTTTCACATTTGCATACGTTTTCCCATTAAGATGGTATTGCAGCAATCGAAAAAGATGGTAATCTGATGGTGCTATATCTGCAGAATATGGT